GCGTGTGCGTGCATGCGTGTGTTTGTGCGTGTGCGTGTGTGTGTGCGCGTGAGCGTGCGTGCGTGTGTGTGCGAGCGTGTGTCTGCCTATGTCCGTTTGTCTGAGGATGGTTTTCAGATGGTGGCAGCAGTGGAAGGTAAGCTGGTCTCTGTGTTTGATGGCAGGATGCAGTTCAGCCTGGGGCGCATATCGTTTGCTCCAAGAGGCCTTGGTGGGTGGTCTCCCCTGGACTGCTCCTTCTTTGTATATGCCACAAAGACTCAGGTATTATACGCGGCAGAAAACTTTTGGGACGTCTGATCCCCTGATTGATGCTGCTTTCTGTCAGTTTGCGATGCTGCTTAAAAAGGAAATTAGTTTAATTAGAACAATTACTGCCGTCAGTCTGCAGCTGATCTTGGCATCATTCTGGACCCCAAAAAAAAAGAGGCATCATTCTGGACCCCACAAAAAAAGGCATCATTCTGGAACCCCCCCAAAAAGGATTACAATTTGCAGCAATTGACTTGCGGGTGGTATAGCAACCGAACTTATGATCCCCCAAATAGACAGAAGCCAGGCTTCATTCTCGACCCCGCAAAAAAGGGCATCATTCTGGACCCCGCAGAAAAGGCATCATTCTGGGCCCGGGCCCCACTTGAAGAGGTTCAGTTCTGCATTCGAGTGTCCACGGGTACCAGGCTGTCCCACGCCGGGTGTGAGCACTGGACTGATGTCCAATGGGGTCCCAGGCCATAACCGTAATTGGGCAGAGCAAGGCAACTGATCGACAAGGTGGCCGCCATAACCGTCGACGGTAGCAGAACAGCACAGTGGAGGAAGGCGACCGATCGACAAGGTGGCCGCCATGGCTCTATGTGTCCGCCGTCCTCCCCGTCGTCTTCATGCTCCTTGTCTTTATCCTCTTGCATTGTGATCCTGCTTGCCACGTGGCAGGGCGTGCGCTTGTTACTGCAACACGGTACCCATGACACCTCTCTCTCTCTCTCTCTCTCTCTCTCTCTCTCTCTCTCTCTCTCTCTCGTGCATGCTCGTGGCAGGACGTGGGAGGACTTGTAGCGTTGCTGCAACGATAGAATGTATGAAATGCACCTTTGCAGCCCAATACAGATTTTTCTGATGAGCATTATGTTCAGGAACGGAGTGGCGCATCATTGAGAGAGAGAGAGAGAGAGAGAGAGAGAGGGGGGGGGGGGGGGGGGGGGGAGTTTCGCAGCAGGTTTGCATATGCTGCCACATGCTCCCCCGCTTGGAATGTATGAAATGCATGTTTGCGGCCCAATACAGATTTTTCTGATGGGCATTATGATCGGGGAAGCCAGCGAGCGCACGCGAGGGAGGGAGAGAGAGAGAGAGAGAGAGAGAGAGAGAGAGAGAGAGAGAGAGAGAGAGGTCGTGGGAACCATGTTGCAGCAGCATGGGACTGATGTCCATGTTTTCACAGTCGCGACAAGAAAAAGACATCATGGCCGCTGAGTGAGTTTTTGGGTGCATTGGAGTTCCAACATAACATCATCGCCATTCACTCCAACGCACCTAAAAACTCTATTCTGAGTTTTTGGGTGCTTTGATCAATCTTGATCCATAGACAAGTCCATGGTCTGTGCGGGGATGAGCCGGGTGTGACGGTCTGGTCTGGCAGTGGCGGAATCAAATTTGGGGGTTGTTGTTACTCTTGGAGATGAAATGAGGTTAAAAAAAAGAGGCTTGTTACCCCCCCCCAAAAAAAAATAGGAGTTGGTTGTTGCAACTACACTGTAGGTCCGCCCGCCTTTGCATCCCAGATAATTGTCTATATCACTGGGGCAAACTGCAATTTCGCTAATTTAAAAACTTACGCATTGTCACGGCCATGGCCAAAATGGACCAAAAAAAAAAAAAAAAAAAAAAAAAAAAACTTTGTCCTGGTTCGAAATTGCATAATAGCAAGGAGGTTTTTGTTTTTTGAACTTTTCTCACACGTTCAGGGGCATATCAAAAATTTTCCTTTTTTTTTTTTTTTTTTTTTTTTTTTTTTTTTTTTTTTTAATGCATCTATGGAAGGGTGCTACTAGGGACTTACAACGACCAGTCACCCCCAGGCTGGCTGTGCCATACAAAGCCTGAATACAACCCCTTTTGAAATTGAAAAAATAAAAATAAAAATTATAAAATGCATAATACGGGCATAATACATGCGGGACATTGCATGTATCGTCACAGTGTATGCTAGTTCTTTTTCCCCTTTTCCGGAGATGTATCTGCTCACTTCTTTTTTTTTTAACAGTTGCCCTTTTATTAGGGCCCAGTGCCCAAGGCAAAAAAAAAATAATCAAAAGTTCAAAACCTCCAAAACTCAGGGGCTGCAAGGTCTCCAAACCTACTTCACAAGGTGGGGATGATACTCCATTTTCATTTCTATACCTCGCCGTTTTACTATTGTACATCTTACGTTTTATTATTTATTTTAATTTTATTATTAATATAATATAATAATAATGAGCTAAAAGTTTCACAGAATCTTCGTCAAAACCATCAGTACATAAGACTCCCTTTCGCCCTAGTGAAATAATTAACCCATCATCAAACCACCAGGGGCCAAGTCCCACTTACCCGAATGATCGATTTCTGACCGCAGATTCCGAAGATCAACGACTAGAAATCAAGGATCACCGTAAGTGGGACTTGGCCCCAGATAGCTAATGACAATGGTGTAAGATGATTCAACCATCGAGTCATCGACATCGAATAGCTAATTTATTTTTGTCAAATATATCATATATGTTATTAATAATAGATTTAATTAAATTAATTATTTATTAGTCATATCATAATATATGTTATTAATAATAGATTTCATTATTTATTATTAATATAATAATATGTGTTATTAATAATAATAAATTTACGATCACGTTTTATATTGTTGATGTGTTCACATAGGAAAAAGCTGCAGTACACCACACATGGGCCCGTGGTTGCCAGCATGAAACCGGCACCATTTCGGAGGCCGCTGTTTTTTTTTTTTTTTTTTCAACGGCGGCTCCGAGGCTTGCTTGGGGCGAGAAAAAAAACTTTCTGCAAGTCTGGGGCCGTGTACTGGCGGTTTTGAAAACTTAATAAAATCATTTTAAATTTTAAATAATTAAAAACTAAATTACTAATATATTCTTCCAACAGAAACTTAACATCCATCTGCCATGTGTGGGTGGGTGGAACACCCTCGAACTATTGATAAACAGACCTAAGTTCAAATCCCCCCTTTTTTTTCTTTTTTTTTTTCCTGGTTCATTCAGATGAGTAATATAACTCTGAATTTAACTGGGGCAGATCAGTTTGGTAATAATATCTCGAGGCCGTCACCCTGGCATACAAGAAAAGAAAACATAAAGAAAACTCACGCGCTGTGAACTTGTGATGGAGATCATGCAATTCTCTCCCCCCTCCCCCCC